CGCCCTCCCAGGGGCTGGGCTCGGCCTCTAGGGCTACCTGCCGCAGTCAAGCCGGCAGATGTCCACCATGCGCTCCGCTCAGATCTTCTCCTCTGCCCTCTCTGAGATGCAGAAGTTCTACGGGATCACAGTCACTGGCGTCCTGGATGAGGAGACCAAAATGTGAGTTTCTCCATGCACTGCCCTCTTGCTCGCACAGAAGGGAGCTCGACTCTCTCCTGTTCACCTCTTCCACAGGCCAGGTACCCTTAAAGGGAGATTGGCCCAGGGCCCACAGCACAAGTCCCCTTTTCCAGAGTGATGGAGAAGACTGGTCTGCTCTCAGTGCTCCGCATCACTCCTGTCATCTCCCGTTTGCAGTGAGCCCCTAAAGGGTATGGAAAGCTCTGCCTACGGGCCCCACGGCTCTGCCTGCACCAAGCACCTGCTGCCTGGCTGCAGCCTCCCCTAGGAGCTGCATCCCTCCTCTCAGGGCCTGTGCCCCTGCAGCCAGGACATGTCCCCTTGCTGGCCCCAACTGCCATAATTCCTCAGGGTCCTTTGCCCCGGCATGGCACACTGAGCCCTCGCTTGATGCCCTCTTGGCAGGTGGATGAAGCGTCCTCGTTGCGGGGTCCCAGACCAGTTTGGGGTCCAGATGAAGTCCAATATGCGGCGGAAGCGGTACGCGCTCACGGGGCGACGCTGGAGCCAGAGTCATCTCACGTTCAGGTACCCGAGACCTCCAGAGCTTCCCCTGATCTCTGCCCGTGGAGAGTCGAGGCAGCGTGTACCCAGGAGGGATGGGAGAGTCCAGCGGGGTCCATGGTGGCATGGAAACGTCACTGGAGACCAGGTGCTCTTTTCATGTTGGCATCGGGGCCCCTGTGCCAGCATGTCCCCAGCACCCACCACGTGACAGCGTCTCCTGACTTGGGAACTGCTTGTGGCCACGGGGGGACCACCGGCTACGAGCCTCTCTGGGCCAAAGCAGCAGTGGGGTCAAGGGGAGCGAGCCTTGCCCTAGCCGCCCTGAGCAAGCATCCCTGCTCTTGTGCCCGTAGCATCCAGAACTACACGGAGAAGCTGGGCCGGTACCACTCGTACGAGGCCATCCGCCAAGCCTTCAGGGTGTGGGAGCAGGCCACACCGCTGGTCTTCCAGGAGGTGCCTTATGAAGACATCCGGCAGAAGCGGAAGAAAGAGGCTGATATCATGGTGCTTTTTGCCTCTGGCTTCCACGGAGACAGCTCCCCCTTTGACGGTGTGGGGGGGTTTCTGGCTCATGCCTACTTCCCCGGCCCAGGGATGGGAGGGGATACACACTTCGACTCAGATGAGCCCTGGACGCTGGAGAACACGGATGTGTCTGGTGAGCCAAGGCGGAGAGCTCGGGTGGGAAGGCGATCTGAGGAGCCCATCTGCCTGGGTTTAATCACCAGTGGGGCTGCTGGCACCGAGGCGACGTGTCACCCGGCAGGGTTTGAAGGGAGGGCGAGCTGGCGTGGACAGGGAGTGGGAGGAGAGCGGCTGCTCCAGACATGCAGTGCAGGCTCTGCTCTGGCTTGCTTGCAGAGTGGGCACTAGGTGCAGGGGAGTGGGGACAGGGAGCAGCCTCGTGCAGAGTGGCCCCTCAGCCCTTGCTGATGGCACCTTTCCCTGCAGGGAACAACCTTTTCCTGGTGGCCGTGCATGAGCTGGGGCACTCTCTGGGCCTGGAGCACTCCAGCAACCCCAGTGCTATCATGGCCCCCTTCTACCAGTGGATGGACACAGAGAACTTCCAGCTGCCCGAGGACGATCTCAAGGGCATCCAGCAGCTGTACGGTGAGGGAGCTCGCTGTACCGGGGCCTGGCGTCCCCCGGGACATGGCCTCGGCTGAGGCTTGTGGGTGCTGGGCCAGCCTGGAGGCTGGGTGCTGAGTCTTGGAGCCGTGCCTGGCACGTAGCGGGGAAAGCGAGGCAGTGGCCAGCTGGTATGCAATCACCCCCATCCGTTTTCTCTCCTGCCGTGTCCAGGTACTGCAGATGGGCACCCTCAGCCCACCAAGCCCTTGCCCACCGTGACACCCCGGAGGCCTGGTAGACCAGACCAGAGACCCCCCAAGCCTCCCCCACCAGGGAAACCAGAGAGGCCCCCCAAACCCGGCAGCCCAGACCGGCCTGACCAGTACGGCCCCAACATCTGTGACGGGAACTTCGACACGGTGGCAGTGCTGCGCGGGGAGATGTTTGTGTTTAAGGTATCCACTGGGACCCCTTCCTCTCTGCCCACCATGTGCCTGGGTCTGCCCCTTTCCCAGTGTGATACCTGCTCCCCCTGCTACCACGGGGCCAGCGCTAGGCCCTGCCACCTCGCGTTGGCTGAGGGTGCGGGGGTTCCTGGACAGAAGGGCCAAGCGTGATGATGGGTTTCAGTACCGTGCTTAGAGCTACCCTGGCAGCCCCTGCGCGGGACCCTGCCCCTCTGTGCCCACCCTGCTGACACCCTCTCTCCCCCCAGGGTCGATGGTTCTGGAGGGTTCGGCACAACCGGGTGCTGGACAACTACCCCATGCCCATCGGGCACTTCTGGCGGGGCCTGCCCGGGGACATCGATGCCGCCTATGAAAGGCACGATGGGAGATTTGTCTTCTTTAAAGGTGAGTGGGGCAGCTGGAGCTGGGGACGAGGGCTGAGCTGGAGGGTGAGAGCCCCCAGACCCACCTGGCCCCACGTCATGGCCCAATGCCCTCCAAGATGCCAAGTGCTGGGTATCTTGATCCTATCCTGACCTGCTTCTCCAGCCTGCCTGGCCCCAAGGCTCCTGGCAAAGGGTCAAGGTGGCCACAGTGGGAGTACTGCCAAGACAGGGGGCCAACAGAGAGCTTCTGGTGCCTGTCTTGGACCCGTGCGTGCCAGTGGGCTCTGTGCTCAGCACAGCAGGAGCAGAAAGGAGACCCTGGGCAGAGCAGGGCGATGGGCAGACAGCATCATGCCCCCAGCCCCATCCAGATGTGCACCCACCACAGCAGTTAGGCATCACAGCATCATCCACCTTCTCCGTTTCCTTCCCTGCCTAGGTGACCGGTACTGGCTTTTCCGAGAAGCCAACCTGGAGCCCGGGTACCCACAGCCCCTCACCAGCTACGGGCAGGGCATCCCCTACGACAACATTGACACTGCTATCTGGTGGGAGCCCACAGGGCACACCTTCTTCTTCCGCGGGGACAGGTGGGTGCTGCCCTGCTCCTGGGTGCTGGGGCTCCTGGGTGCTTCTCTGTGCTCAGCCTCTGCTGCTTCGGGCAAGTCTCTGTCCCTCCACGTGCCTCGATTTCCCCAAGGAAACCTTGTCTGGAAGGGGAATGATGTGTGCTTGGAGATGGGAGAGGGAGCACTCTGGATGGAGGAAGAGAGGGAGGGAGGGATGGGGTGGGGGACTGCTGGGCTGATGGCAGGTGGCTTGTTGGACAGAGGGATAGATTGGTGAAACCTGGAAAAATTGGGAGAAATTTGGATGGGTGGATGAAGAGGTGGGTCAGCAGGTGTACAGATGGATAGGAAGGCTGGAGCACCCATGCCACCTGCAAGGGCAGTCTTCCTCTCCCTTGTCTGCTCATGGCGCCCCTTCTGCCTCCCACAGATACTGGCGCTTTAACGAGGACACCCGCTCGGTGGACCCTGGGTACCCGAAGCCCATCTCCGTGTGGGTGGGCATCCCTCCCTCGCCCAAGGGTGCCTTCCTCAGCTCAGATGCCGGTAAGCAGAGGAGGACGGAGGGGTGGATGGGGAGGGGGGCTGGAGGACACGCAGCCTCCCCTTGCCAGCCTGTTGCTGCCCATAGACGCAGGATGGGGACCCCGACGCAGTG